CTGTGCCACTCATCCTCAACTAGCACTCCCTAGCCACTTTCCCTCTATATGTTTCTAGTCATTTACCAAACTATATCATTTGCGATAACAAATTTTTAACTTACTGTCTCTGTTCTTGCTAGAAGACAAGCTCCATGATGGCAAGACTTTTCTTTCTTTTGTTCACTGTTATGTTCAAGTGCTTAGAAACATATTAGTATATGTCTTTGTTTTTATTGTTAAGTGCCGTCAAGTTGGTTCCAATCCATAGCAACCCTGTATAGGGTTTCCAAGGAGGAGCTGTTGAGCATGAACTGTCAACCTTGTGGTTCAAACCAACTTTGTAGTCCAGCACATTAACCCACAGTGCCACACCAGAAACTAACAGGTTACTGGAAACCATGGGGATAGTAGCCTAAACAAACATAATGAACAGTAGAGATGGATATATAGGATTCGGTTACTGGGAAGGAAATGTCAACTGCAAAAACGTCATAGATGATTCCTTGGTTCTAGCTTGAAATGGGCAGTAGAATGATTGTATCACCTACTAAGACAGATACTGCTAGAGGAGAGTATATACCAATAAGGTATGATGCAAGACTTCTGGAAAGATGGCAGACGAGGCAGATGTCCTACATGGACCCTCTACAACAAAAATATGAGAGACAAAATAAAATAGAGATGAAAGTGCTGACACCTTGAACTTCCAAAAAAAGGTTACAGAGATGGACAGAATGCTTGCTGGGAGGAAAAGTCAAGCAGGGATGGCGAGAGAAGGAGGCTGACTGGTGAACAGCTGACCAGACATGACTTGACCATCTTGTGAGCAACTTTGGCAGTGGAGGAAGGACTGGCAGAGCAGATTTGCATGGACAATGGAAAAGGTGCAATTTCTTTTTCCTTATGCTCCCCTGTTAACCAGAAGTGTGCCCAGCTCCTAACCTTATCTACCCACCCCCTGCACATAAATTGCTCTCTGGGAGTTTAGAGTCATGTGGTTATGAGTCACGCCAATGAGAAGTTGGGGGGTGGCTGTACCACTGTGGTATGCTGCTTTGGTGCCTGGATTCAGGTGGGCACAGATCCAGGCAAAACCCACAGAGCCACCATACTAGCATTTAACCAGACACAGAAACCAGTTACAACAAGGATCTCCATGAACCACTTCAGGATTGAGTACCCTGAACTAGATACCACTGAGGCCAACAGGAACTCCACCTCATCTAGGGCCAGGAACTCTGCTGCACATCTCTTCCACAATCACCTTGTGAGCTCCTAGAATTGCAGGATCCCCCCTAGAGATTTCTCCTCTCAGGTCCAACAATTGAACTCTGTTTTTACAAGAAAAACAACCCCCAAATGCCTCAGAGACAACAGACAATTTTAGTTGACATGCAGAAACAGGAGCGAATGGCTCAAACAGATAACCAAGACGCAAGGTCAGAAAATGTTTCTTAGAAAGAAAACATAATGGAACTAACTGCAAAAGAATTCAAAAGAATAATAAATAGGTACCTTCAAAGGATTGATAGAAAGATCAAAGAAAGCAAGGAGAACACAATAAAAACTTTAGAATAATTCAGAAAAACACTACAAGAACAGATAGACAAAATAAATGCAAATTTTGAAATACTATAAAACCTGCAATTAGAAATCCATAAGATTAATACTAAGATCTCAGAAATGGACAAGATATTGAAAGAGCAAAGGCGTTGATGAAAAGCAATGGAAGTCCAGATTAGTGAGCTTGAAGATAAAGCTCTCAATACTAGTATGCTAGAAGAACAATCAGAAAAATGAATGAAAAGATCTGAAGAAAACCTAAGAGTTATGTGGGACACCATGAAGAAGAGTAACTTATGGGTGATTGAAATTCCACAACTGAAATAGATAGACACAGAGAAACTTATTGAAGAGTTGTTAGAAAAACTTCTCTAACATCATGAAAGAAGAAAAGATAAGCATACAAGAAGCTGAACAAAACCCATGTAGGAAAGATCCCAAAAGAAAATCACCAAGGCATCATAATCAAACTTTCCAAACTCAAAGACCAGGAAAGATTACTGAAAGCAGTTCAGAAACAATGAAAATTTACAACAAATGAAAAACAATAAGACTAAGCTCTGATTTCTCAGCAGAAATTATACAGACAAGTAGGCAAAGAGATGACATATACAAAACTCTGAAAGAAAAAAAAAAATCGCCGATCAACAATCATATACCCAGCAAAGATGTCCCTCAAATATGATGGTGAAATTAAGACATTTCCTGATAAACAGACATTAAAGGAATTTGTAATGACCAGCCCAACATTACAAAAAATACTAAAAGGTGTTCTTTGTATTGAGAACTTACAACAGCAGACAACAACCTGAGATTACTATACATAACAACACCACCCAGAACTCAATCCAGATATAGAAGTATTTAAAGTAAGACAGACCTATAAGACCAAAAACAGGGAACCAGAGATATCAATGTATAATGAAGTCAACTACAAAGCAAAAAGAGGGTATAGGGTAGATATAGAACTTCCAAATGGCAAGGAAATCAAGTAGAATTCAAGATAAAACAGACTATTTTAAGCAAGAGAAAAATTAATAAATTACAGGGTAACCTCAAAGAAAAAGACTACATTTGCATATCAAAATTAAAAAAGAGGAAGGTCAGAAAGATTTAGTGAACATTAATACAACAGAAACTAAAATGAAAAGAAAATCCACAATGAACTCACAATGGAAAATTATGTGGGACAAAAAAATCCAGCAGCACCACAAAAAATTAAACAGAAAAATGACAACAATCAATTCATACCAATTGATAATTATACTGAATGTAAATGGACCAAATGTACTAGTCAAGAGACATAAAGAGAAGAATGGATAAGAAAAAGGACCCTTCAACATGCTATCTACAAGAGAAATATAAAAAAGATGGAGACAGACTAAATGCTCACCAACAGAAGAATGGTTAAACAAACTTTGTTATATGTAGTATTCCACACAATGGAATACTAAAAACCATTTAAGAACAATGATGAATCTGTTAAACATCTCACAACATGGTTGAACCTGGAGGACATTATGCTGAGTGAAATTAGTCAATCACAAAAGGACAAATATTATATGAGACCAATGTTTTAAAAAGTTTTAAAAAAGGTTTTCTTAATAAAAGAAACAATTTATGATGGTTACTGTGGAGTAGGGGAAGGGGAAATTATTCATGGGCTAGAGGGTAGACACATGTTAGCATGAGTGACAGAACACGCACTATACAACAAGAGGGAGGTTAGATAACAGAGGAAACATGAAGGTAGCAGGAGACACTGGGAGGAATGCAATAGTTCAAGTGAATACAGGTAAATGCTGCTAACTTTTGATACATAGATGGGTATACAACGTAACAAAGCAAAGTGCATGATTTGTTGAATATAAAACTGATGATAAACCTGTAAACCTTCACTCAATTCAAAATAAAAATTTTAAAAAAACAAAAAAGACCAGCCTTACTGGTCAGATGGAGACTGATGGAGCCCCAAGACTATGGATCTTGGTTTCACTTCAGGTCTGCAATTGAATTAACCCCTGTGGCTCAACTTCAGCCAAGCAATCAATAGCTAGGCATAGAGGAAGGACAACAACACTAGAGAGGTATGGTGGTGGTGGTTATGCACCATGGAGTCGATTCCGACTCATAGCAACCCTGTACAGGATTTCCGAGGCTGTAAATCTTTATGGGAGCAGAAAGCTGCATCTTTCTCCCTATACAAACCATTTAATGGTCGACCATTAAAGATTAAATGGGCAGCATTTACCTAAGGACAAAGTACAGAAGAATTGGGGGAAGGAAGAGGAACGGAAGCAGGAAATACAGGAAGGAAGTGGAAGGAAGTGGGATAAATTCTATTACACAGAAGGGATTGAAATCTTTGAGATGAAACATACATAGTCTGTTGAATGTAAAACTGATGCTCTGCTCTTTCATCCTTCACTCAATTCCCAATAAAAAGTTGAAATAAAACAAAGGGTATTGATGTCTCATTTGGACATTTTCAGTTTGAGAGGTTCTGTTACACATTCAGGTGATGTTTACTTTTGTTGTTAGCTTCCATCAAGTCAGTTTTTAACTTATGACAACCCCATGAACAAAAGAATGAATGCTGCTTGGTTTGGTCCTGTGCATCCCAGTGATCAGTGTGGTTCAGGTCTACCCTTGCTTTCACTGGTTGCTTTTTGGAAACAGATCACCAAGCCTTTCTTCCTAGTTCACCTTAATCTGTAAACTCCACTGAAATCTGTTCAGCATCACAGCAACATCTAAGCCTCCATACGATGCATGAGGTACATTGGCTAGGAATTGAACCATGGACTCCTGCATGGGAAGTGAGTTATTCCAATGAACCACTAATGACATCTTGCTCATCTATTGTTGTTGTTAAGTGCCTTCCAGTTGGCTCCCACTCATGGCAACACTGTCTAGGGTTTCGGAGACTGTAGATCTTTGCTGGTGGGCTCAAACCACTGATCTTGTGGCTTGCAGTCTAGTGTTTATCCTACAGGGTCACCACACTCCTTGCTTATCTATTGTTGCTGTTAAGTGCCATCAAGTCAGTTCCAACCCTGTAGAGGGTTTCCTATTAGGTGGCTAAACAATGGAGAATGAAGATTTAGATAATTGGCATAAATTTATAAGTCATTAATGCATGAAAACTTCTAAAACAGTATGGGAAAATTAGATCAATAGGAATTATTGGATAAAATCAGAATATTGGAGGACTTTCAATAGAAAGGAAAAAAAAAGAGAGAAAAAAACCCTCAAGAAAGAGCCAGATTTTGTTTTTGAGGAAATGCAGGTATTTGCAGAAAGAGACTGAATGATATCTGTAATATACATGGCACCAAGTGAAAGATCTTTAAGATAGCATTAAACTATACATGTTTGAGATATAATTATACACTGTATGAAAAATTATCCATTTGTACATTGAGTATTTCTGAAAATTCAAAATTAAAATGTACCTGTATATTCCACTGAAGGGAAATAGCATTCAGATGAGGTTTCAGAAAGATGAAACACAAACTTTTCTAGTAATTCTGCCAAAGCTGTAATAAACAGAAAAAGGATACTTAAAGTCAAGAATAATATGCAATATTAAATTTGTACATCACAGACCAGAAGATGAAAGTTGTCTGAACTGCTTCACAGTTACACACTATGGGGGTCCAATTCAAAACACAGAGCATTTTGGTATTCATAACAACGTTTCAGATTTAAATTAAATTTTAATAGCTTCAGTGAGAACCTACTCAATGCAAAACTTGGAAAAGAATCATCTGTTATCTTTAGATCCTCTAAGGATTACTTCAGAATTTGCTAAATGGTTTAATTGAAAAAGAAAATGATCACTAATTAGACTATAATATCTTATTATCATTATTTGCACAGATAGAGGGGAAAAATGTAGACTCCAAGACCATTATCAATTCATAGATAACTCAGGTCCTTTTCACAACTGGTGGTGGTGGTGTGCCATGGACATAACTGTCTGACTCATAACGACCCTGCACAGGGTTTCCGAGGCTGTAAATCTTTACGGGAGCAGAAAGCTTCATCTTTCTCCTGCAGAACAGCTGGTTGTTTTGAACTTGTGACCTTGAGGTTAGCAGCCTGACTTGTAACCACTACACTACTGGAGCTCCTTATAACTAGCACATATTACAACTAGCACATTCTCACAACTAGCACATATTATGTGTTTTATATACTTTCAACTGATATTATCTGTCCAGTAACCAGATCAAAAGTAAATTGTCCTATCTGGCTTAGAAGTGACAAAATGATTCTTTTTCTAGGTTATTTGATAATGCCTTATAGATGACACTACTGTTTTTGCATATATTACCAGCAGAATGAATATAACCAAGTAGATTGCAATTAAAACACAATAAAGAAGTGTTTTTTATTCCATTTGTTTTGGTTTTAACTGAAAATGAATACGGTATTTTTATGCAAATAAGTGTTCTATATTTTTGCATGCCATGCAAACTTGTTTGTTATTTTTTTAAGTGTGCGCTACAATATACATACGGAGTCCTAGTGTGCACTGTGGGTTAATACACTGGATTGCAAAATCACTTTGAACCAAAAGGTCAGCAGTTCAAGCTAACCAGCTGCTCCTTAGAAACCCTATATAGGGTCTCTATGGGTCAGAACTGACTCGACAGCA